CCTCGTAGCGGCAGATGTGCCGCGCGGGCTTCCCCTGGCCCTGCGGCATGGGGCTCGGCGGGCCGGACAAGGACCTCGTGAACATCCCCGACCCGTCGGCGCAGCACGCGTTCAACGTCGAGGTCGCGACCTACGACGACCTCCAGCTCTCGGGCGCGACGACCGTGACGCCGAAGGCGCGCTTCGCCTACGGCGTCTCCCTCGGGCGGTCGGGCCACAACGTCGAGCGCACGGCGATCAGCGGCAAGGTCCAGAAGGGCGACGTGACGACGGCCATGAACATGCTCTGCCGCGTGCTCAACTGTGTGGAAACCAACCACTGGTTTGGGTGGTCCTGACCAAACTTGAGAATTCTCTAGCTCGGTCAAATCGAAGTCGATTCGGCTGATTTTTGGACGGATCGATCGCTCTCGTCGAGTTCTCGAAGCCCAGCTAAAGAGCTTGTGTCAAAACATTCAAATACGCTCACATTGAAGTCGGGTTGAAGATTTGGTTTCCACACAGGTGCTCAACGCCGTCGTCAACGTCGCGACGGACGTCGCGGGCGAGCCGCTCGCGCACTACGACTTCGAGTGCTGCCAGTGCTACCTCAGCGAGCTGCCCGAGAACGGCCACAGCGACGACGTCACGCTCGGCGCCCAGGGCGTCGCGGACGCGGACCTCTACGGGAGCGGCGACGGCGGCCGGCGCCTCGCGGCCGCGCGGCCGCCGGGCCTCGGCCGCGGCGACGCGTGCGCGGTCTGCGCGTCCGAGGACTGGCTCGACGCCGCCTGCGCGACGCGCGCGGGCGAGACGCTCTTCTGCCCCCTCGGCGCCGACGCGCTCCTCGCGGCCGCGGGCGCGGCCCGCGGCGCGCCGGACCGCCACGCGCGCGTCTGCGCGCTCGTCGACCCGCTCGTCGTCGCGGCGACGGGCGACCGCCACGCCTGCTGCGCCTGCCACGCGCCGACCGACGGCGGCGAGGAGGAGGAGGAGGAGGACGGCGGGGGGCGCCGGCTCCAGGCGGGCACGACGCGGTCGACGCGGCGCTGCAACCGCCTCTGCGACTGCGGCGCGCAGGGGTCCGCGTGCCTCGACAACTTCCCGCGCCACGTGCCGTGCCAGTGCGGCACGAACTCGGCCTGCTTCCCCGCGGACGCGACGGTGTCGCTCGCCGGCGCCTCCAAGCCCATGCGCGACCTCCGGCTCGGCGACGCGGTCCTCGACGGCGCGGGCGGCTTCTCGCCCGTCTACTTCTTCTCCCACGCGGACGCCGCCGTCGCGGCGCCCTTCGTCCGCCTCGAGCTCGCCACTTCGGGCGCGACCCTGACCCTGTCGCCGGACCACTACGTCGACGTCCGCGGCGCGCCCGTCTACGCCAAGGACGTGCGCGTCGGCGACGCGCTCGCGCGCTGGACGGGGGTTGATTTTGTGGCAGACGTCGTCGCCAACGCGACGAACGTCGTCGCCGAGGGCCTCTACAACCCCTACACGCTCTCCGGGACCATCGTCGTCGACGGCGTCCTCGCGTCCTGCCACTCGTCCTGGATCCTCGACGGGCTCGTCCCGCCGCGCGTCGCCGCGCCGGTCTACCAGCGCGCGTTCGTCGTGCCGCGGGTGGCCTACAAGCTCATCGGCCCCCGGGGCATGGACGCGCTCTTCGGCGTCGGCAACACCGGCGCCACGGCGTCCATCGCCTCCCAGACGGCGGCGCTCTTCGCCGTCGTCGCGATCCTCGCGGCCTCCGCGGCCGCGGCCTCCAAGGCCGCGCTCCGCCGATGAGCGCGGCTCCATCATTCTTTCCGCGGCGCCCTGCGCCGCCGGTCCCGCCCCTCGTCGTTTCCTCCCCCTGCAGAGCGGGGCGCCCGCCGACCGCCAATCGTTCGAGCGCACCGCCCCTTCGCTCTCGCCTTTTCCGAACTACCGCCTGAACATCGTCGAACGCGCGGAGGCGGGCGCAGCCTTAAGCCTCCTACGCGACCGTGGCGCGAACGACGCGGGGGTCGCCGTTGCCGTTGGTCAGGAGGAGCTCGAAGCTCCCCTCGGCCGCGCGGCGCGCGCCTCCCGCGTCGACGAGGTGGAGCGCCTCGGCGGCGACCGTGAAGGACACCGTCGTCGTGGAGCCGGGCTTCACGCGCACGCGCTCGAAGTCGAGGAGCTTCTTCAGGGGCAACCGCCCGCCGCCGGCGTCGACGTCTACGGGCTTCGCGAAGAGCATGATCACCTCCTCGCCCCCTTTGTCGGAGCTCACCTTGACCGAAACCGTGTGCGCCGCCCCCGCCGTGAAGGTCACGGCCGCGGGCGCGGCGTCGGAGAGCGAAAAGTTCGCGTAGGACAAACCAAAACCGAAGGGAAACGTCACGCGCTCGCCGCCGTAGTAGCGGTAGCCGCGGCTTTCGAAGGACGCGTCCGCGAGGGCCACCTCGTCAGCGTAGGAGGCGTCGTAAATTGTGTACGGGAGCTTGCCGAAGCGGTCGTTGTAGCCAAAGACCGTGTCCAGGATGACGTCCGCGGCGGCGAGCCCCGACGGCACGAAGGCGTCGATCACCGCGGGCACGTCGGCGACCCACTCGTCGACGGCGTACT